TATGTGGGATCCGAACCGGGGCCCTCTGGCGTCCCAAGCCAGTTCTTAACCATCGCGCCTCTCGGCCGGCCCGCAAGCAAAAGATTTTTTTGAAAAGCATTTTCTCGTTGGGACTTGCTCTCGCTTGCTGTCCCGAGACCACCATGAGAAGAAGCCTGGGTTAGCCTATTGGAGGAGGTTAGCCTGTAGGAGGTTAGCCTGTTGGAGGAAGCCTGAGTTATAGCCTGTTGGTGAAGACGAGCCATGTCAGTGGAGGTCCCTTAGACTGACCAGGCCCCAACTGACTGTAGCCGTATGGGTGAACCCGCTTGAGACCTGAAGGACTGCCCAGCTGAACCCAGAATTGCTGATCCAAAGAATTGTGAGCAAGCAAAATGGTCGTTAATTTAAATCAATAAGTTTTAGGGTGATTTGTTACCCAGCAATGGATAACTGATACACCACCTTAACCAAGCAATCGATGTTAACACCACTGGTAACTGAACAAACTGACTTCGTGTGCCTCCACGTGAAGGATGTGGATGCCCAGAAGAGGACAATGTATTAACTTGATAGGGCAGTCATGATAAAGGACAGGCATGCCTCATGTTATTTATTGTGCTTCAATTTAGCGCACCTCGCAGATGTTGCAAGGATGGTGGATAGGCAAGACTACCCACCAGCAAAAAAAGGTTACGACTCGCTTTTTGTAATACTCACTTTGTTACCGTGGTCTGGAACCGAAACTGTAATATCTCCGAGGTGTGCCTGTGCCACCAACTGGGTGGCTTAAAACAACAGATGAGGGCCGGCCGAGTGGCTCAGTTGGTTAAGAGCTCACTCAAGAGTGCGAGCTCTTGAGCAACAGCAATTCGATGCCCGCCCGAGCTGAGCTGCCAACAGGCGGCAGGATGGCTCAGCTTAAAAAAAAAAAAAAAGAAAAGAAAAGAAAAAAAAAATACAGATAGTGGGCCGGCCGACTGGCGCGTTGGTTAAGAGTTGGCTTGGGACGCCGGCTCTGAGCAGCAGTACCCCGGTTCGGATCCCACATGTGGGCCAGTGACGCTGCGCCCTCTATGGTGAACAACAGCTCGACCTGGAGCTGGGCTGCCCTGAGTCCCCGGCGACGGCGTAGGCTGCAGTGGGGCTGGCTGGCAGTGGGCGTGCGCTTTCGTGAGCTGCCTTGAGCGCAGGCGACTGCCTCACCCGGGAAGAGCGCAATGATAATACCAACATGGGCCAGTGCAGCCACGTCCTCCACAACTAGGCTGAAGAACAAAACGACAGCAACTTGTCTGTTCCCCTTCCCCGATTCCCCAATTTAAAAAAATAATTTAAAAAAATGAAGAAGAAGAAAAAAAAATCAGGTGCCGGCAGGGCCACGCTCTCTCTAACGCTCTCGGTAGAGTCTCTCCTTGCCTCTTCCTAGCTTCCAGTGGTCACAGTCAATCCCTGGCTTGCGGTTACATCACCCCAATCTCTGCTTCTGTCATCACATGGCGTTCTCCACATCTCTGTCTTTATGTGGCATTTCCTCTTCTAAGGATATCTCAGTCATATGGGGTTAGTGCCCAGCCTAGCAACCTCACCTTAACTTGATTGTCTCTGCAAAGCTCCTATTTCCAAATAAGGTACCGGGGGTTAGGACTTCAACCTATTTTTTGGAGGGACACAAGTCAACCCGTAACAGTCACGAAATCATTTATGTAGTCTTTGTCTTAAAGATGCATACCTGAGGGGGGATGGGTTCTCAAACAAGGGGCCCACCCTCCCACAGTGCAAGTTTTCTGAACCGTGTGAGGCGTTCAAGTCCAGTTAAAGCCAAGGTGGGGCGTTTCCTATGATGCATGCGTCCTAGACCAGACAAGCGATACAGGGGCGTGGTCTTTTCAACGTCCGGTGTGCCGATGACGTCTGAGGTAGAAGGGGCTGGGCAGGATTCCCAGCTCGCATGCGCATTGAGGCCAAGGCGTTTTCTTAAGAGGTTGGAATGGAAGCCTCTTAAAATGGCAGATGATTTGGACTTCGAGACAGGAGTGCTCAGCATTACGTCAGAATGGCTTTGTGGTGCTCAAAAGCCGGCCATGTAAGATCGTGGAGATGTCCACCTCCAAGACGGGCAAGCACGGCCACGCCAAGGTCCCCCTGGTTCGTATTGACACCTTTACTGGGAAGAAACATGAAGATCGCTGTCCATCAACGCATAATATGGATGTTCTCAACATCAAAAGGAATGATTTCCAGCTGATTGGCATCCAGGATGGGTATCTATCACTGCTCCAGGATAGCGGGGAGGTGCGAGAGGACCTTCGTCGGCCTGAGGGAGACCTCGGCAAGGAGATTGAGCAGAAGTATGACTGTGGAGAGGAGATCCTGGTCACAGTGCCGTCTGCCATGACAGAGGAGGCTCAGCTGTTGCAATCAAGGCTATGGCAAAATAACTGGCTCCCAGGGTGGCAGTGGTGGCAGAAGTGATCCTGGAGCCTGCAGAGGCCCCCTCCCCTAGCCTGGCCCGGCTCTGGCCAGGCACTTGGCCGGACTCCTATACGATTTATTTGACGTTTTATTTTGGTTTTCCCCACCCCTTCACTCGGTCGGGGA